CACTGTCTGGTACAAACAACTATAAAAAAGTCCGTTCATCATGCAAGAAAGGTGTGCAAATAAGTTATACAGGACTCAGATGATTTAATATTAAACAATCAGTTTTGCATGTAATCAGTCTAACCGTATACATTTAGTTAAAATATCCCACCCATTCTACTATTTTTCTTTAAAAAGTACACTTAAAGCTTCTAAGCTTAGACATGGACTATAATATACACTCTTTTTAGCCAGGGTGACTGGCATTTGGTAGTATAAAGATGGCACCAAAGGCTCCCAAATATGGAGCAGGGATTGGAGCCATCTGTTAAACAGCCTTGCGCACAGTTAACAAACATGTCTATTACACTCGCAGACAGAGTCATTTTCAGTAATGTTGAAGCATATAGAGCATCCAAAACTCTGAATTTGGAGTTCGAATGTAGCCATCCATTTCCAGCCAATTGGAGAGGGACTAAGTTTAGAGCGCTTTCTCAAGAAGCTTTGCTTGCTGAAGTCAAGGACACTTTGAAAAAGGCGCACCAGATAAAAGTCATGGCTATCACCATCCCTCGCCTTATGAGATAAATTCTGCTAAATGCAAACAAGGTTGAACAGAGTGAACTCCCACCAGATAAAACCTCACTGGGTCTTATAGTGGGGATCACCGGTGAAAGGAACAGGAAGGACGAAGGATGGATTAATGTACCTTTCCATTTCAGGGGTACCAGCAGGAACGAGGTCAACACTTAACTATTCTTTGTGTATATTTGTACATGCATGCATGCGCACATGTATACATGCATGCATGCTAGTATGCCTGTATGTGGGTGCACATGCATTTGGAGGTCAGGGCAGATATTGGGCATCTTCCTGGATCTCTGTCCACTTTTCTTCTTGAGGCAGGGTCTCTCACTGAGCCTGGGTATCTGGTATCTATCACTTGATTCTTTAAACTGGCTGGCCCATCAACTCCCCATGCACCGAAGATCATGCTTGGCTTTGACAAGGAATTCATTTGATGGGGAACTCAGGTCCCCATGCTTCTGTAGCAGGCACTTTATCAACCAGCTATCTCCCCAGGACCCTGTATCTATTCCTGTAAGGGCATGATGTAAAAACCCAAGGGAAAGACGAATTTGTTAAAGCATGCCGTCTGCTTCCTGCTGTTTTTGAAACAAGGCCTTGCTATGTAGCCCAGGCTAGAAGTCCAGTTCTCCCGCCTCTGCAGATTACAGGTGTGCACCACACACCTGGCATGCTAGCTGCTTCCTACTAAGCAGGCTGTGCTCAGTGGAATGCCGTGGTAGCAGCAGAATGAGAGGGTGTGAAAATGAAAAGGGACGTCTTAGCTTTTCTGGTAAGAATCAGACTTAGAAGGTTTGGAAGACTTGGTGGCAGATTCCCATCATGGGATGGCCTCCCAAGCCTCCCACAGTGAGGGTCTTTGGAAGAATCTACGAGTGTTGTGAATCTACGGATACCCACAAGGTGCTCAGGGTGGGAGGTGGAATCACAGCTCTGGCACCAGGAAGCTCCAGGTCTCTGTTCAACTCTGTTGACTTCCCAAGGAGTGCAGAGGAAGGCTCCCACCTGCCCCCCAATTCTGGAAAGGCTTCCTCATCTTGAAAGGCAGAAACATCGGATTGCATTCTCTAACAACCCTTCTTGGTCTAAAGTCTGGGGTGGGAATCTCCTTCATTTAGAAAATCAAAGGTGGTTTTGTTGTTGTTGTTGTATTCTGTTTCAGCAAAGCAGAGAAGAAAACATTTACAGAAAATATAGACGTTAGAAGAATTACTACCTTGTTTGTTGAAGTCATGGATGGCCCATTATACATCAAAGAGTAACATTCCTGTGTTTGCCCAGAGGTTCAGGGTGTTTCTGAGTCTGTTTAAGCACTAACGGGTTTCAAGCCAGCATCCAGTCAGAAGAGATGGTTCACAGGCTCAGATAGTTGGAAACAGATTTAAAAAAAAAAAACAACAACAGATGTCAACATAGAAAATGATAGAGTTTAGTTAAAAAATGCACACATAAAATTACAGTCAAAAATTCACACATAAAATTTAGAGTGTTTGCACAGCAAGATGTTATTGCCCCACAGCCAGGCAGAAAAATATAAACCCAGGTGCATGTTTTATAATAAACATTGTTTCCAATGCCGAGAACCATATATTGCTAAACGTCTCCTGCGGCGACTTCTCTCTCTGTGAATCATACCAACTGCTTAGACAAACCAAATTCCCAACCTTTTCTCTTCCATGGTAAACAATAAAAGTAAGGCGTCTGTGTCAATAGCAGCCTCCTCACGTGAGGCCACAAGGATGAGCCACCCACCAGCTCGCTTCACGGTCACAAGGAGATGGGATCGTCAGCTGAGAGCTTTTGCAGCGCAAGTACCTTGTCCAGACCACTTCCACCTGAAACTGGCCATTACTAGTCAGAAAGTTCTCCCAGCTTATGGGCTCAGGATCCCACCTCGTGCTTCTGATCCTTTCTGCCACCCCTTCTCCCCCATTCGACTGACACACCTGTCCACTCAACCACGCTGAGTAATGACCCGAGCCAGTTGGCAGTATCACTGGGCTGATTCTTTTTTCTTTTACTGGCTCTTGCTACAAAAGGAGCATTCCTAAACTCTATACGGAATGGTTCTCTCTCTTCAGAGACTCTCAGCTGATTGTTCTTAAGTAAGTTTTGATTCACCATCTCCCTGGGTTTGCTCATATGACTTGGACAGAACCTTTTCCCTCTTGCTGTCTGAATGACTTCAGAGTGGGCATAACTCAAGTTCTGTTTTACAAGATACAAAGGAGGGACAGGAAGGTGCAGTAAGAGAGAGAAAGCAGATTTCTTCTTTGTGTTGGAAAAATTCTTCGAGCAATTTCTATATCCACACTCCTCTCACTTTTGTAGCAGCTTGGGCCAGGGATTCTTAGTCTTTGTGTCTTAGGTCTGGGAGTCCTGGGTGGGTTTGCCAAGAGGAATTCTATAGACTTATTCATGTTCTAGGAGCAAAACTTTTTAAGTCCTGTCACTTATGTGAGGCTCTGGTCATGCCCTAATATGGATAACTTGCCTGCTCTTCTCTCTCTATTGCTCCTCCCTGCCACACATCAAAGACATTTCATTACTCCTCCTCCCCCACTCCCTCTCCACCTGCCAATCCTTCCTATTTTCTACTAACCAGTGAAAGTGACCCATACATGTTCCTTTTTCCTTTTCCATCCTAAATCAATTCTTGAGCTGTGTCGCATACCATATCCAATGACACCAAGGTTCATGGAGGATCTGCAGGCACCTAGCCAACATTTCAAAAAGCTGCGACCTCACTGCTCGGGGTCAGGGTCATTTTACACAGAGCCAGATGGTTGCCTGGGGCATGTATGATGTATGCCTTTGTGCACTGCTGACACTCCCGGAGACTGGCTCGCCAGTTTTCTGCTGGCACTTCAAAGCAGGCAAAGTTGCTGGAACTGTAAATAAACCCCAAAGTCCCAACACCTTTCCATCTCTAAACAACTTGACAAAGCGGTGGTAAGAACATGTGAAAAGGCCATGAGCCCCTAACCTTAACAGTGTCACTTAGAGCCACTGTTTCCAGAGCTTTCCATAGCAATGGCATACCCAGCTCCACCCCACATTTACAGAAGGTGAGGTATTGTAGAGAGTCTGACAATTATGGAAAAAGTGTCTTCCTTCTTTCTTTCCTTCCTTCCTTTCTTCCTTCTTTCCCTCCTTCCTTCCTTCCTTCCTTCCTTCCTTCCTTCCTTCCTTCCTTCCTTCCTTCCTTCCCTTTCCTTTCCTTTCTTTTCTTTCCTAGTCTAAGCCCTTAATGTAAAAATAATTCTGGGGAGAAGAGTTAAAAAAAAAAAAAGCAAAAAACTAAAAAAGCACAAAACCAAATAGAAAAACCCTTAGCTGTTACAGGTTTGTAGTCTCTAAAGTTCAACTTTATACATCAAATCTTATTCTTTTACATTTCCCTTTTCTCATTACGGGCCTCTGAATTCAACTTAATTTCCCCCTCAAGGAAGAAGGAAATAGGGAGAACTTTTGGTGTAAGTACATATATTGCAAACCAGGGAACCCTGCAGACTCCACCTGCCCACACGGCACTGACCTGGGGGTACTCTATTACTGAAGGCAGAGGTGTTGACTGTCCCTTGTTTTTATGTATGCTCGGTCACCTTTCCTTTCTTTCGAGGACCACCCCAAGCACCAATGCTTCAGGATACACAATACCTCACTTAACATCTATGTGGACACATTCCTACCTCTGATTATTTACCAAGGATGTGCATAGTGGTAGTTTTATTTGGAGATTTTTTTTTAAAGCAAATACAACTGCAAATATATGTACATTGTAGAAAAGCAACACTCTATAAAAAATAAAAAATAACATTTCCCCCACCCCAGGAATTAACTCCTGAAGTCCTGAGATTTGCTTTCTTCCACAGTGTTCATATCTCTGCTTTGCAAGACCCCCTGGGATCCTTTGTCTTTTACCTCTCTTTGTTTTAACTCAGTCCTGGAACAAGCTTAAGATGAACTCAGCTCCCTATCTAGCTGGAACTCCCGGCTTCCTTTTCAATCACGCATGTGAAAAGCCCCCATTCAGGATGACTCAAGTTTGATGTTAAAACCTAAAGAAGAGAAAGAGCCTCAGCTCAACAGCCCGCCAAGAGGAAGCAGCAGCTATCAGAATGCTTAATTGGCTGGTGTGAAAAAGTCTCTCTCAAGCCTCAGTTCTTGGGCTCCATTAAGTTCACAGACATTCACTAATCCATGAAGATACCCAGACAAGCCCAGAAGTTAAGGTAGAGGAGAGTAGAGTTAAATCAGGAGCGCCAAGCCACCATCTACAGGTGCCCAATTCTAGTTCTTCGGGACTTCTGCTGGAGCTGTTTGTAAGCTGGCCTTCTGGTTCCGTACATGAGCTACAACATGGAAGGAGAAAAGGTGTAGATTGGGAGCATAGAGGGGAAGGGAAGTCAGAACCAAGAAGAGGGTTGTTTCTAGTAGCCTTCCCATCTGAGACCTCCTCATAGATGAAAGAACTTACATGAAACACAGACATTGCCCGCTAGATAATGCACGCTGCCAGAGAGCACGCTACGCTTTTAGAGGTAGACCATTGTGTGGCATCTTCGTAGGATAAGGCCTTATGCCTGCGTAGGTGTCCGATGGATGGGTGGACTTCTTTGCCTGTTCAAAACAAATCCCAAATCCAAACCCCAAGCCCAAGGATTCCTCAGTTGTAGCGTTCATTCTCCGTCTTTCTCATTTTGTCTTAACAACACTATCACATTGTAAACAGAATGTTCTGTCTTGTATTTGAGTTTTGTGTTTTTTTCTTCCTAGGGAACTAGGAAGTTTCCATGAACATCAGGAGGACTCCGTTTTCACGGCAGACATAGAGTTCTCGCCCTTATAGTCTCACTGGCAAAGTCTTGGGGGAAAAAAGTCTATTTACAGTATTTCTGCTTTTCCGTACCAGTTCTAGTGTGAAGTTCACATTTGTAATTCCTATTGGCAGCTTCGTCTCTTCCCTCCGACATCTTCTCAGTGACTTCGTTCACAAGTTTCAAGCCAGTGCTTACAATGTACACTATTTACAAATGAAGTCTCTGAATTCCCAGCCATCCGATCAGCGGGGAGTGGAGGGGACCATGTGAAGTGCCGTCAAGTGGCGGGATTCAGAACTTGAACAAGTTGATGAAGTCCTGGGGGGAGAGCGAGACGGAGCAGCTCTCTGGGTTGTTGGCTGTGCACGGGTGGTCAGTGCCCTGAAAATAGCATCATGGTTAGATCCGAGTTCTCAGTGGCAGCTCCCTGGCTCTCTCGGGCCTTGCCTAATCTCTTAGCAACTCTGTCAAGAATGCCACTGCAGGGGCTGGAGAGGTGGTTCAGTGGTTAAGAGCAGGTACTGCTCTTGCTGAGGACCCAAGTTCTGGTCTTGTATGTGGGTCAAGTGGCTCACAACCACCTGTAGCTTCAGCTCCAAGGTATCAGACACCATCTTCCAGCCTCTGCAGGCACCCCTCTTGTATGCACATAACCACGCCTAAACATGTATGCATGTTTATGATTAAAAATGCCAATAAATCTTAGAAGCAAAAGAATGTCACCGAATTCAGGGGGTGAGTGGAGTGGCTGGTATGTGACCGTAAGGACCTGTGTTTGGATTCCCAGTACCCACATGAAAGATGGGCATGGAGGCGGGCAGATGGGGCCTTGGAGCTTATTGGCTGGCTAGTCTAGCCAATGTGGTGTGTTCCAGGTTCAGCTGGTTTTTTTTTTTTTTTTTTTAAGGTGGTGAGCTACTGATGAAAAAGGAGACTGTGACTTCAGGCCTCCATTCTCACGGGCTCATATGTGCACACATACATGTGCATACACAAACACATCTGCACATACTATCCCTCCCCTCCAAAGGGATTCCACAGCACTGAGAAGCTGAAGAATTCGTGTTTGCCTATGTGTTTCCCTGTGCACACAAAGATAGAATATGTAGTAAGCAGGTTTCTGAGAGAAACCAACATAAGGGGTGGAGGAAATGGAGGGAAATGAAGGCCTTGGAGCTGCTCTCCCCTGTCCAAGTGCTGCATGGATTTCACTCTTCTCTTAGGTTGAGGGCCGAGATAGGAAACAACAGGGAAGAGCTGGCCTCATGTTGCTGCCACTGTTGGCACTTACACCCCAGGCTCAGGGAAACCAGGGCTGGAGGCAGAGACTGAAGCACAGGCCATGGAGAGTGTTGTTTAAAGGCTTGCTCTTCGGCTTGCACGGCCAACTTCGTTGCCACAGCCCGGCAGCGGCACTACTCAGTCAGCTGGGCCCTTCCACCACAATTACCAATCCAGAAAATGTCACACAGCCTTGCCCACAAGCCAATTTTGCGGGGGACGTTTTCTAAACTGCGGTTCCCTTTTCCGAAAGGATGCTAGCTCGTGTCAAGCTGACACCACCCTAGCCAGCGCAGGCGCATGCATACCTTCCAGGAGAGGATGTGGCAGTGTCTGCAGAGCTGCAGGGTGTCCCCATACTGCTCTCTCCTTGGGTAACATCGGATCAGCTTAAAATACATCTTCTTCCAATCCAGCTGTCCTTTGTCCGACAAGATCAATCGCTTGCGGATCTGAAAATCAAATGGGGAAAAGTAATTTCCGGGGAGTCCACCAAGAGGATCGTTTGGGGTTTTCTGGTTCCGAAGATTTCTGCTCCCACTCCTAGAAAGGCCCAGGAAAGCAGCTTGCTTAGCTCTCCCTGCTTACTGGGGGCTGTTTAACCCGCTTTCAGAAGAAACAGGGAACTACGCTTTCCTAGTGATTGCGTACAGGGCCTTTGACTGGTCCTTCAAAGCTTAGGCCGCTCCCATAAGCCACTTCAATCTTTTCTTTGCTGTCGACCTGGACAATTATTTCTAGGAAGACGCAGTGACTAGCGTTAGGGCTTGTTATTCTTCTGCTCTGGTTTTTTTAAAGGGCAAACCACGCCTACTCCCAGCCACTTCTGACCTCCCTCATCGCCATCTTAACTCTTTCTGTTCTGTCCCTCTCTCTCGGCGTGTGCACACGTGTCTCTGTTTTTCTCTATGTTTATCTCCATGTCTCTCTGTCTCCCTCTTCTTTAAGTAATAAATATTCAGCTTTATGTTTACCCTTACGTCTATTTATTATGTCCTGTACGCCTTTTATCCACCAACTCCACCCGCCAGCTCTGCCACTCGCCGCGTGGAACCTGCACCCGTTCTGGCGGCAGCCTCTGCCTGGACTAGCCTGCCTCGGTCACCCGCCAACATATTATCTTTTAAAGAACAATAGGGCTCTATTTTATTTTATGTTTAATATCAGTGGCTTCATGAAAAGAACCTGTTGAATTAGTGCACAGATGAAGAAAATGGCAAAACAACCCTGGATGTGGAACAGGTTTAGAGGGCACCCTCGGGCGTCTGTGGGCCCAATTCAAATGTAGGGTCAGCTGTCTCAGCCTAGGGGTCACTTCACGAATCTGAATACACCAGTTGGTCACTTGTGGCCTTGGTCTCTTCACCTGTTTGAAGGGGGCACAATAATATCTACCCTTCCTGGGTAGGGAAGATGAAAAGAAACACTCTTCATAAAAGTGCTTGAATATACAGCACCATAACAAGGTCTTTTTAATTTTTTTTTTTAACGAGCTGTAAAATGTAATTTGGGGTAAGGGTTTATTTTTCCCTTATCAAGACAATGATGACAATGACAAGGAACCAAAAAACAAAAAATACACATTGACTTAGGAATGCTACCTGTAGGTAGTGACCCCACAGGAGTCGCCTAAGACCATTAGAAAACACAGATATGTAGGCTGTGATTCATAACAGTAGCAAAATGACAACTGGGAAGGATCAAGGAAAATAATTTTATGGTTGGGGGTCACCACAACGTGAGGAACTGTACTGAAGGGTCGAAGCATTAGGAAGGTTGAGAACCATGGTCTGAAACTGTTGCTTTCTAGTAAACCAGACATTCCAGGAGGCAGGCAGTCCTGCCTCATGCTGGAAAAGGATGGGTCTTTTCAGGGTAGGGGCAGATCAGGGAGCACGAGGAGCGGGCCACTGGGCTTCACTGACCTGTCGTTCTGAGAAGTGGTACTGGCAGAGTCTCTTCCACAGCAGCCGGTCCTCACTGAGCACAAGAAGGTCTGGGGCTGCCTGGCCCAGGCTGACCAGGTCCCGCCCATCACTCAGCCGCTGCATGATGTTCAGTTGCAAGCACACAGGCAGGTCCGTGAATGTGAGGCCTTTGAAGGCAGGCTGCAGAGAGAAGGCCAGATGATAAGCCGGGTGTTAGAGAAGAGCCATTTTCTTGTCATAACTTGCTCCCAGAATGCCACGGTCCCCAGATCCTACAGTCTCAAGCTGGCTTATCAACAGCTAGATTCCCAAAGCTGGATGCTCCTGGTCCAACAGGTAGAAGCAGGACCAACGGCAGAGCCTCCAGAGGACAGCCCAGCGTGACTTTGCTGACTGCAGCCTGCAGGCTTTCCCTGTCCTTGCAACCTTCTGCTCTAAAAAGACTCCCAAAACAGCCTATGTTGGACTCCTTCTATTATATTTTTCTTTTTCTGAGACAGGGTTTCTCTGTATAGCCTTGGCTGTCCTGGAACTCACTTTGTAGACTAGTCTAGCCTCAAACTCAAGAAATCCACCTGCCTCTGCCCCCCAAGGGCTGGGATCAAAGGTGTGTGTCACCACCATCACCCTGCTATAGTTTTCTAGAATTTTTGAAAATTTCATGTAAGTAAACAATGAAATATGATACTATCTACCACATTTCCTTCTTCTAACCCCCCTGTACCCAACAGGTCCCTCTCAACTTCAAGTCCTTTTAAAAGATTGATTTTTATTCTATGTGTAAGAGTGTTTGTCTGTAAATGCACCATGCCTTGTGCTGCAGAGGTCAGAGGAGGGTGTTGAATCCATCGGAACTGCGGTTATGGATGGTCATGAGCTGTCCTGTGGGTGCTAGGAACTAAACCCAGCTCCTCTGCAAGAGCCACAAGGGCTCTTAACCACTGAGCCATTTCTCGAGCCCCTCATGTTTGTTTGTTTGTTTGCCTGGATAACTCTTTAAGTACAATTAGTGCCGCCCATGTGTGCACGGTGTGGGGCCACCCATTGGAGCATGGGAGCACATTGGATTTTTGTGTTTTGTTAGTGTCACTATTCAAGACTCACTGCCTTTCAAAAGTGCCACCGCTCTGATGGGTGGCCCAGGCGGACACCTGGCCTCCCATCTCACTGTCCTCTGTGATTTCAGATCGGTCCACTTTAGTGCACTCTCTGGCACCCAAACCAAATCTTGCTTACCGATACACAATGCCCTCACCCACCTGGCCTTCCTTCTCTGTCTCTCAAGCCTACTTCAAACCCATCGCCATTAGGTATGCTGGTCCTCGCCTTTAATCCCAGCATTTGGGAGGTAGAGAGAGGAGATGTGTGCGCTCATGGCCAGCTTGGTGGACATAACAAGGTCTAGGACAGCCAGGGCTACATAGAGAGATCCTGTCTCCAAAAACCAAGAACCGAATACCCAACAAAGAAAAACAAACTCGGGAGCTGGAGAGATGGCTCAGTGGGTTAAGAGCACTGGCAGGTCCTCCAGAGGACTTGGGTTCAATTCCCAGCACCCACCTGGCAGCTCACAACTGTCTGTAACTCCAGTTCAAGGGGATATAATACCTTCATACCAATGCACATAAAATAAAGTTAAATAAATTATTTAAAAAAACAAAACCAAAACTCAACCATTTCTTTTGACCACCTTTTCTGCCTATGTATCCCCCGCTTAGGTCTCCTTCACTGTACCTTCTTAGAACTCCTAGGAGCTCCCTCAGTGACTGTCTGCAACCCTCCCTCCTTTCAGCACAACCCCTTTCTTAAGAAAGGCTGAATGGAGCATTCCTTTCAGAACCTAAGGCCCTTGACAAGAGGGGGTTGGCTTTGTTTCACTGTTGTGTCCTGGTGTCCACAATGTTTGGCACATCATAAGCACCCAGTAAATATTAGTGCAATGGATTAAGTCCAAATAGTTGAACAGGAAAAAAAAGAATAACACAAAGACCTTGTGCTTGTACATGTGTTTGTGTGTGTGTGTGTATGTGTGTGTGTGTGTGTGTGTGTGTGTGTGTGTGTGTTTACAGGACTATATGGCAGTACTTATATGCATCTGTGTGGGTTTGTGTTTGCATTTATAAATATGTATGTTTGTGCATTTGTGTTTGTGTGTATATGTTTGTGTATACACTGGGAATGGCTGGCCCCAAAACCTTTGAGCTAAGCTCCACTGTAACTGAGGACACCAGGGAACATTTAATTTAAAAATTTTTAAATTTATCCTACAAATATGAGTGTTTTGCCTGCATATAGGTATGTACACCACATGTGTACTTGATGCCCATGGAGATCAGAAGGTACTGGGTCCTCTTGAACTAGAGTTACAGATGGTTGTGAACCACCATGTGGGTGGTGGGAACAGAACCTGGGTCTTCTGCAGAGCAATAGTGCTCTCAACTGCTGAGTGATCTCTCTAGCCCCTCCAGGGGATGTTTTAAAAACTGCTCATTTACATATAAAACACACCTGCAATCAACCTTGAGCTTCTGAAGGAACTTCCACTACACCCTCAAACTTATATTTAAAAACTGCTCATTTACCACTATACCCTCAAACTTCTATTTAAAAACTGCTCATTTACATACAAAACACACCTGCAATCAACCTTGAGCTTCTGCAGGAACTCCCACTACACCCTCAAACTTATATTTGAGCCCCTTCTTATTTTAAAATTTGATCATCTCAAGATACCTCACCTAGACCTATATCCTTGAAGGCAGGACCTAGCTTGTAGGCCTTGGAGACTAATCCAGCACAAACAGCCCTTGGGGCGCTTACTGGACAGGCACAGAGGAAAAATAATAATAGGGATTATTTTTCTCATCAAATTGCTGGGGCAGAACCTGTAGGAAGCACAGCAAAGCCCAAACACATGGGGACTCCAGGAACTACTTGGTACCAGCCTCATTAGGATGATGCCATTGATCTTTCCAATCCTTGGGTAGGCTAGACAGAAACTGGTGGGAAGAGAGGTCACAGAAGGAGGTCTTAATGCGAGCTGCTGAGGAGAATGGATGTGGCAAGGGAGGACTGTGATGGGGGCAAACAGCATCCTGGGAAGTCTGGGTCTCAGTTTCCCCAGCTCCCAAAGACTGTGTTTAGAATACTGAAGATTCCTCTAGCCCTAATGATCGTAGGCCTGCAGCCACTCAGGCCTCCTGTTTCAGAAGTGTCTGTGACTTGACAATTTTTACTGCTCACTTCTACCCCAGGCTGTTGGGCTGAACTCAATTGGTTTGCAACATTCAGGCCTTTGTGTGACCGCAGAAAGCCCTAGACCTATTTGTCGTTCATCATCTGCTGTTGATCATATGAGCTAATAAAACTGCCACGGGATTTTCTTTTTGTTTCCAGCACTTCAAAGCCTCTACTTTTTTGGTTAAAACTCCCAGGCCAATTATTACATTAACTCCTATTAAAGGCAAGTTGGCTTGGCAGAGTTTGCTCTGTCAGATTTTCAAACCTGAACTTTTCCAAAACCCTTGCCCAGACCTCGTGCCAAGCCCTTATGCCTGATAAATGGTTAACTGCTTACATGCCTTCTCCCTTTCGAATATAAACATATGAAAGGGAAAATATGTCACTCTTGCAGCCTTAGTCAAGCATTTGGCTGAACTCCATTTTGTCTACCCCAGCCCCCATTTTCCAAAACATTGCTTTGCCCACAGCACTGTAATTATATTTTACTTTTTCCCCTACAAACCAGTTCTCTCAATTTCATCCTTCATCCTTTATTCTTATATAAGTTACATTTACAAATAAAAACTGGCTTGAAAGAATTAGATATGAAGATTTCTAAGGCAAACAAGGTTCTGTGCTGAGACCACAGTGGCAGATCGTGGGCAAAGAGGGAAGCATTTACTACAAAAGGCATTTTAGTATTTTCATGGATTAATATTCTTTTCTTTCTGAGAAACACAGAAATCACCATCCAGACTGAAGTGATTTGACTGTTCTTGTTCCCTCACTGTCCCCCCACTCCCTCATCCCCCTGCCCCAGGATCTTATAGCCGAGGCTGGGTTCAGATTTTTTTCTATAGTTGAGGATGACCTTGAACTCCCCATTCTCCTGCCTCCACTTCCCAAGTGTGCTGAGATCACAAGCCCCATAACAGTTGGGGATTTACGTGGGAAGCTCTTCTTCACAGCTCTCAGAACAGCACAACTCAGAGCCCCCTAGTGGGTTCAGGAAAGGATCAGCATAGCCTCTGGGAGCAGCCTGTTCTGGAGTCTGATGTCAGACATCCTGGTACAGAGGCCCCAACACAGTTCCACCCTGTCCTCCATTTACTTGGCTTCTACATCCTTGAATTCAATGAACCACATATGGAAACTACTGAGAGAAAAATGCATCTGAACTCACAGCATAGAGACTTTCTTGTCCTCCTGCCCTCCGCACACAGCATCCCATAAGGTATTAGAATTGGGCTAGAGATGACTTGCAGGGCAGAGGAGGGTGCATGCAGGCTAAGCATAGTCACTATGCCACTGTATACAAGATACTTGAGCATCCATAGTATCCTTGGGGTGTCTCTGAATCCATCCTCTGTGGAGACTGAGGATGGTTTCTCTCAATTACAAAACATGGAAATGAGTATCTTTGCAGTGGGGCTGGGTATAAGCGATGAGTTAATACCAAGAAGTACTTAGCACAGGACCCAGTAAGTTCCAGTCATTTACCCTAATTACAATTAATTACAAGATAAGTTAATTATCACATGGGAAGGCCTTACAGTGTGTGTGCAGGCAAGCCCTTGATCATAACACCTAATACATCTATAATAATGCTTCCTACACACCAGGCCCCGCTCCAGCTGCTATCTGTAGGCTGGTTTATGCAATCTCACACCTATGTTCAATCTCACATGGGGATAGGAAAGAGCTGGGCATGTCTGCCTCTCGTTTCCAAATGAGGAAAGTGAAGAAGCATGGGGAGACTGAGGAACTGTCTGAATCTTGCAGTTGGTATAATTTACCACTGTCATCCATAATCTCGGACAATATTCTCCATTCATGCTCCCCAGAACCCCAACATGTACTTCAGCAGACAGGTTGGTGGGGAGCTGTCTCTTCAAACCAACATTCATCTCTTCAGCTAAAATCTACTGACTGCTTGCGCCAGGTATGGAGCAGAAGATAAATGTCTTCTCCTTTGGAGATTGGAAAGCAGGGGATGGAGACAGATGTATATGCACATGAGAGCCTTCTGGCTGATCAGAACTATTCTGAAGAAGACTGATCGTGGCTGTAAGAGATGGGATGAACCCGGCAGACTGTGAGCCAGAAGGCCCTGAAGGGTGTGTAGAGGAGTGTGGGGTTCTACTGGAGCACACCAAGCAGATGTTAGAGGGGGGATGAGCTTCGGGGCTGGATCTCTTAAGCAGAGGATTTCATTGGATTAAAATGTTTTTGTTTTTTGTTTTTTTAAATAAGCTGAATCAGTGGATAAATAGTTGGAAGAAAACTAGATGGGGAAGAGTTTAGAAGCCACTGATGTTAAGCACGCTTTGCCATTTTAGGAATCAATAGTCCCAGCTTCTGACTTTGACCTAATTGTTGTGTAGTGTTGGGAAGGACACTGGACTCCTCTGGTCCCCACTTCAATACTATCCTATGGAAGGGTAATAGTAATTACAATGGCTGCCTCTCAAGAGTATTTGGGGCCAAGCAAGAAGGGTTTTAAGGAAGTAAGGTCATGAGAATGCAAAGAATGGGAGACCTGGGTAGGAGACAAACTCATCTGAGGTGGTTAGAGGGAGCATAGCCCAAGGTAGCTTGAGGGGAGACAGCCTTGGAGCAAGCCTTGTTAGTTTCTTTCATTCGTTGGGAATTGTCTCTGGGGAATAAGATGGGAAGTATTCAGTCCAGGCCACAGAGAATGCTGGAAATCAGGTAGCAGGTTGATGTGAGTTTTCTGGGATTGAGGAATGGAATTCTGGTCTTAACTGTACGTGTCTAAGCTATTGCTCTACTTCAGAGAGGAGACTGGAATAAATTATTAAAATTATACTGTTCATAATAAATGCTTAAGTTTTCTTAAAACAATCCAACAATGGGGATAATTTCTGAAAGATGACCTACATTTGGGCTCTACTCAGCTCTTTGCATGCATGTGCTTGCAGGCACGGGCATGTGTGTGCATACACATGAGTATGTGGGTGTGTCCAAGCAGGGTTGTTAGAGCCTAAATAACACCAAGGAAGCCATGGAACAAGAGATTTCTAATTATTCCTTCCGCTTCAGAATTTAAGAAACCAAGGGGCAGAAAGATCATTCACTGTGAAGAAAGAATGTGCTTTTTGGAAACGTCCTACAGCAAGGGAACTGTTTAGAAGTCACAGGGTTTCCTCCATGTCACCTTCACCTGATATATGCTGCAGTTCCAAACTGTGTGGGTCCCGGAAGCCACTTAACCAGCCCGGTGTGCGATTAGATAAGTAGCCAAGTGTTGTGTGAGCTTCCCGAGTGTGCCTGTCCATTAGCGAGTCCCGAGAGATTACGCCAGCAACGTTCACACAGTTCTGTGCGTGCCTTAGTCTCCCGCCCCCATTGCCATTAATAGGATGGGAGCCCACAGTGAGTTTTTATTCTGAAAGCCAAGAGAAATGTCTGCTATATGAAGTCCTATGCTGGTAACATAGAGGCTTTGAGTGAGTCCAGTTAGTATTTTCTGACATGTGTGTTCAGGCTTGGTTCAAATGGCCTTTGTCATCAACTACCATTAATGGGACTGAGAGTCTAAAAGGCTGGTGGTACCAGCTCCCTAAGCCACTGTCTTCTGGGTTCTATTGTACTGAAGGCAGCGTCCCCAGTCCACAAACAGCTCATTCTTTTTGAGGAAAGGAGCAGAGAGCTCCCCTAAGCCCCACTGAAGACTTCAGCAGACAGCCAACATCCCTTCCCTGACAGTTCTCCGTTTTGTTTTTATTTTTTTTATAAATAAAGATTTATTTATTATGTATACAATGTTCTGCCTTCATGTGTCCCTGCAGGCCAGAAGTTGGCACCAGATTTTATTACAGGTGGTTGTGAGCCACCATGTGATTGCTGGGAATTGAACTCAGGACCTCTGGAAGAATCAGGTTAAGTGTTCTTAACCACTGACCCATCTCTCCAGCCCTGTTTTTATTTTTTGTTGTTGTTGCATGGTGTTACAGTTGGCTGTCATCTTTAACATCCCTTCCACCTGTTTTGCCAAGTTCTTTTTCCCACTCCCCCTTTATCGGGATGCCCCTCATACCGCCTACCACGCTCAGCCCCAGGATGAGGCATCGATTCAGAAGCAACCTGTTGCTGTATCACCAGAGAGGCTGTCATGCTCTGGAGTTCTGCTCAGTGTCTGAGCGGGGGAAGCCACAGTGGGGTGAGTGGGGGCTTGCACTCACCCTGGTGATCTGGATGCTGCTCAGCTGCTGCTGCCAGTGTAGAATGGTCTCCATCCGATACACCCACATGTTAATGTTGCCCACGAGCACAGACTTGCCCACTCTCTGGACCAGTGTGCATAAGGACGTGTAGAGGGTCTGAAGAAGTTCCCTTATGAGTCTTATGTTTTGCTGGTCCTCAAGGACTTGAGTGGAAAGAAGAAAAAAGGAATATCAAAGTCACGTTATGGGGACCATGCATGACACAAGTGGTCTTTTCTTCTTTGTTGTCTACTCCTATGACTGGGCACTGTCTCTTAGGATGCCATCTTCTGTCTCACCCGTGTTTATCTATACTCAGGTAATGGGTAGAGTTTCCATTAATCTAGGTCCCTCTTTGTTCTCTTCTCCTGGGTTTCTAAAGAGCTCTCCTGTTTCAATTGCTTCACCAGTGCCAAGGGTCCACCTGATCAGAACGCAGCTTTTTTGTTCAGCAGCTGACATGTTTTTGGGTGACCAATGGAAGGCTGCAGTTTGGGGGTTCAGAAGGTCGAGTTCGAACCCTGCCTGGCTAATTTCTAGATGACCACAGGCCATTCATGTCTCATACGTATCAGTCCCCCCATGTGTAAAATGACTCAGTGGAGCCAGAGGTCTAAGATCATCGCTAGTTCAGCCTGTGCCTCAATCCCATGTCCTAGGAATATCGAAGCTCCAAGGTGAAGGGTGGGGCACATGTTCTCATGGAGAAGCCAGTCAAACTGAAAGCAAACAAACAGAGGATCCTAAAGAGAGAACTAGAGGGCAGTGGTCTTGTTCCTTGCCAAGGGCCCGGGTGGTACCTTTCTCCTGAGCTGGAAGCGAGGACCCCTGGGATTCAGCCGCCATTGTTCATCCCCATCCAATCACGCTCCTTTAAATCTACTTGACGTGCTACTTGATGAGAAAGCCCACCTGCCTGCTCCCACGCCTATCAGGAGGGCTGAGAGAGGGCGGGCGGCAGAGCTCACCTTTCAGCACTACTTTTTCCAAGATGTTCATGAAGTTCTTCTGGGCGATGCCACTCAGGGATGTGAGCTGTGACTTTGCTATCAGTTCCAACAGCTGTGGGTAAAAATAGAAGTTGCCAGGCTTAGAATACAGGGATATTTTTCTCCTCTAATCTTCACTTTTGAGTCACATGACACGCAGATACAGATTGACGGGGGGAGAGAGAGAGAGATAAATGGCAGGCAGGGCCACCCAGGCAATAGGACGCAGATGCTTCCAGTGAAAGACAAATGGCGGTAACTCAAAACTAGGAACCAGGTTGAATATTTAATTACCTTCTTTCCTTTATATATAAAGGGTTTGGGCTTCGGCCAGTGCTAATCCATTCTATTTGGTCCACTGGAAAGAAGAGCTGACAGTATTCTGAAGGGAACAGAACCTCCCATGACCCGTGAGCACAGGAGTTTTGCACAGTCACCCCCAGGGGGAACTGTTCTTGCCCTGGCTTGAACTTTCATCCACTGGCACCCACTGCTCTCAAGGCACAGCAAAGCCTGTGTTTGATGGCCATTGCTTGAGCCAAGGAAGGGGTGATTCTTTTCTGGACACTGCTTTTTCATGTTCAATAAACCTGCCTGGTTAGACTCCTTTGCTGCATTTACCTTTTTTTTTAAGTTTTATTTTATTTCTATAGAAAGATGGCAAGAAAGAGAAACTGAAGGGTGCACAGTATGTCTGTCTATTTCTCCCCAGAGGCACAAAGAAGAACCCTCATAACTCTTAGATTTTTATGGAGTCTTATTTAAAATTTTATTTTACACGTAGGAGTGTTTTGCCTAAAAGTGTGTAAGTGTACCATATGTGTGCCTGGTGCCCCTGGAGGCCAGAAGAGGGCATCAGAATCCCTGGAACTAGAGTTACAGTGAGTTCCAGGACAGCCAGGGCTACCCAGAAAAATCCTGTCTTGAAGAATCAAACCAACCAATCAGCAAAGTAAAGATACTTGATGTCGAGCCTGATGACCTGAACTTGATCCCCAAAGATTTGATTGTTGAAAAATAAAATGACAAGGATCTTGGAGATCATATAGTTCAACCCACTTCTCAGATGGATCAAGTGAGGCTCAAGAGTACCACCAGGGCCGGTGAAATGGCTTAGCAGGTGAAGATACTTGCTGTCAAGCCTGATGATCTGAACTTGATCCCCAAAGGCACATACGACAGAAGTAAAGAACTGTTAGTTGTTCTCTGACCACCACACATGTGCCCACACACAGGCACGCACACACACAATAAATAAATGGAACAAAAATTTTGACGAAGACTCTAAACTCTATGAGCGAATCTCACAGCCTGCAGGAGGACTCAGCTGTATTTTCACCACAAAGGAAAGTGGGAGCACGCACTGTCTGTCTCAAAGAAACACCACACCAAAAGGTTGTTGTAAAGGCCAATCAATTAATTTCTTCAGAAGACAAATCAAATCCTCAAGAAAAATGACACAGACTCAGGCTCAGTACACTGGACTCAGAAAACCAAGACCCCAGTAAGACAAGAGACATGAGGGAGGTAACAGAGGTGGCTATGACCATAACACATCATTTACATGTACAACAATATCATAATTAAATTTATTATTATGTGTAATTAATATATTCTAATTCTAAAAGGAAAGAGAAAAGAGAAAACTAAAATCCCCCTCCCGCCTCATTTTTTGAACTCTGCCCCTAGAAAACATTCTCAGTGGAACCCTGGCTTTCCCATCAGAAAATTAACCAGGCTCTCCTTTGAGCTGGGACAAAATTTTCAGGGTTTTTTTTTTTTTTGTTTTGTTTTTTGTTTTTGCGACAGGACCTCACATAGTCCAGGCTGGCCTCAGACTTACTACAATGCTAAGGATGTGCTTGAACTTCCGATCCTCTGTTCTCTATCTCTTTAGAACTGGGATTGCTGGTGCATCCTGCCATGCTTGGTTTACGAGCTGCTGGAAATTAAATTCTAGCCTTTGTGCATACCCAAACAAATATCCTACCAACCGAGAGAGTCTTGGCCCCAGGAAGCTTTCCAAGAGCATTTCATTGGACCAGGCCCCTGCCTGATTTAATCAATGGATATGACACAGTATGGGATGCTGGAATCAAGGCAAAAGGAAGAAAACAGAGTAAACCCCCAAATACTTCACTGCCAAAACAAAACAATATGGGAACACAAGAAAATAAAAGCAGGATTGCAGAGGAGGACAAACTTTGGACCTATATTTTAGGTGGGTCAGGGCACCTCCGTGTCCCAGGCACTTACTGAAACATTTTGTCTCCTTTGGACCCCTGTCAAACCACATATAGACCTAGTTCCTTCAACATAATTTTACTTTAAATTGGAAAAAAGAGTTTTAAACCTCAAAAGTCTTCCTGCTGGGTTTGGTATCTTTGACGTGTGCAGGGGGTGGCATGGCCTCTTGACTCAGTAGAGGAGGAGGAGAAAGAGGAGGAGGAGGAGGAGGAGGAGGAGGTGACGCTGATGTGTTGTGCTTAGTGCTAGAGACCTACACTCAGATGCCAGGGGCTGACAAGAGTGACACAGACTGTCGAGGCATCAGAACACACCACACCCGGGTGGACGTTCTGTCCATCCCTAGTGACCACAACTCTCCGTGCCTGTCTGGTTTAGTTCAGCCACCAATCGGCACGTGACAGCGAAAAGGGGAACACAAACCTTTCATTTTCTCCCTGGGCAACAGCAGGCTGTAGAAAGCCAGGCTGAGGTTTATTAATACCCGGAGCGTCACATGACTAGCATAAAGCAAGACGAAAGGAAACAAAAGCCTGGAGCCTGGAGTCTGTTCCTGTGGGGCAGGCGGCTGAGCCCTGTGACTCATCTGGGGGTAGGAGGTGAGGCAGGGGGCAGCCTGCGATCAGGCAGAAACACATCCGTAACAGGTGCCATGTGACCCCCAGCTCACCAGGGTGTCATGTGACCCCCAGCTCACCAGGGTGCCATGTGACCCCCAGCTCACCAGGGTGTCATTATTAACCTCACTAAAAGGGCACCGGTCACAAAGAGACATAAATAAATAAATAAATAAAACCCCAAAACAACCCTCCTCTGCAGCAGGCCCTGACTGTGCATCTAGGGAACCTCTGCAGAGTGTGCATTGAGGGGAAGCAAAAAGCCTTGGGCTGGCTGGTAGTATCTTCCTTAACTGGGAGGGGGAGGGACAGAGCAGCAAATTCTGTCAACAGACAGCAGGGTGACATGTCAACTCTTCTCTCACCCTAACTGCAGGGAAAGTCCCTGCTGTGACTGCTAGGGCAGCTGTGGAGTCCTGGAACAGGAGAGCCGGATTCTCGATCCGGCTGACCTTTATAACTGTCATTCATTTAGCAAGAAACTCTGTGTCCGCTCCGTCCTAGCCCTGAGACAGATGACAGGGAATGATGACAAACACGTGACCCCCGGACGCACGGAGTTTATGGTCTAGTCATGAACACCAACGAAAGACGACCTACGGGATTGTTAGGAGAATCAAATGAGACAAAAACAAAAACTTACTGTGAGTACCAACCATAAAGCGTTACTGCCACTACGAAAGCTCTTCTCCCCAATTCCAGTCTTAAGGAGTAGGCAAACTTTTGTAAAGGACCAAACTTTTTTTACTTTTGGTATTTTTAGACAAGAGTTTTTCTGTGTCACAGCCCTGGCAGGCCTTGAACTTATGGAAATCTACCTGCTTCTGCCTCCTGAATGCTGGAATTAAAGTCGTGCACCACCACGCCTGGCCCCCGAATAGTGATTGAAACAGTAGGTGTTTTAAGGGTGGTGGGTCATTCAGTTTTTATACTACAAATGCCCTGCAATTGTAACACAAGTAACCATAGGCATTATGTAAATCAATGTGTACCATGTGTATATCAATAAAACTTTATTTAGAGAAACCAGTGAAGATCTAGATGGAGTCCTGCAATTACTTCTGGTACACATCATAGAGATTCTAAGTGAAGGTCCCAGAGTCTAACTGTTTTGTATGCCAGAATCTACTTTAGAATTGTTGTGAAGAACAAATAGTTCATTAAGCACTCACAATATGCCAGGAGTATATATTTAGTAGCTTCTTATTATTACTATTATTATCATTATTATTATTGGATTTTTTAAAGAGAAGGTTTCACTGTATAGCCTTGACTGTCCTGGAACTTGCTCTGTAGACCAGGCTGACCTCGAACTCACAGAGATTCGCCTGCCTCTGCCTCCCGAGTGCTGGGATTAAAGGCTTGTGCCATCACCACATGACTACTTAGTAGCTTATTGTCATCAGCTTTTCATCATAAAACAGAAAAGACAGCTAGATAAAATTATTGCCAGGATTATTGCCAGGAAAAAATAGTGAACTAGCACGGTGAAAGCACAGCTTGTTTAAAGACTCTGTGTCAATTGTACATGTGATCAACTAAAAGCTTTCTGATTTCAGTACTCCTCTGCCATCTTTCCCTGTGGTGCTCTTCACAGCTCTCTGCTGACACAGTTCATGACTTGCAGAGGTGCTGCCACCACGAAGTCATACTTTGCTAACAACGACGGATGTTTATGGTGTGCAGAGATGGTGCCACACAGCTCACCTGCGTGGTCTTGGTTTTCACGACAAAGAGGTTAAGCTCCCCATGTGACAAAGAAAGATGCTAAGGCTCAGGGCTGTCAAGTAGCAGTAGTAAATTAGGGAGTCAATACTTAAGTCCAGATACGTTTAACAGAAAATATGTGTTTTTGTAGCATTCAGGACCCCACTGCGAAGGATAACCAATAATTTGGTATTGGTATGTAGAGCCAGATTTTATTCTATTTATTTATTTATTTGGTAGCTTTGGAGCCTTTCCTAAAACTCGCTTTATAGACCAGGCTGGCCTTGAACTCACAGAGATCTGCCTGCCTCTGCCTCCTGAGTGCTGGGATTAAAAGCATGCGCCACCACTGGCCACCCTCAAATTTGATTCTAACAATTGTAGCAATATCATGACTTGTCATTGTCTGGGGAAAGAATCCAGAAACTTTCTATCAACAGTGTGCTATGACTGGCGGTCAGCTTCCATGCTGAAGTGAAATAATGACCCCCAAATGCTCTAA